TTAGAGTTTTCTAAATGTAGCATGCACACATCTAAAACTTTTTTTATATTAAGTTAACTATCTTTGGGCTTCTAATTGAAGTTGTAGAGCTCATTAAGAGGAATCTAATGGTGGTTGAATCATCAAAATCGGCTTTGTGGATCACAAAATATCTTCGAAAAACATTTTACCGACTATGTAAAATTCTTCTTTAACAATAGTATTGTTAAAAAAGAATTTTACATAGTCAGCGAAACGTTTTTCAAAGATATCTTGTGATCCACAAGGCCGATTTTGATGTTTAACCACTATTAGATTCCTCTCAATGAGCTCTACAACTTCAATTAGAAGCCCAAAGGTAGTTAACTTAGTATAAAAAAAGTTTTAAATATATGCACACCACATTTGGAAAACTCTAATTTTTATAAGTAATTTGAGTTATATTTTACTATGATCACTCTCTGGTTGACTGGTGGATTACTAATTAAAGACTTTTATTCTGGTTCAATTATTCGACCTGCAACAACTGATATACCAGTGTTATGAAGTTAATTAAAGAATGCTAAATCCTTTAAATATCTAGTGCTGGATGGTTATAGCTTCACTCTGGGTGGCTCAAAGGATGCCGACTTTATCAATATTCTTGTGTTAATAACTAAGATTTAAGCTTTCTTATCGTTTAGTACTGCTTGTATTTTTTGAATGTTTATTAATAAAGGTGTCTTTATTAATTCGAAATAATAGGTTTAGGTTTAGACTTTATTGTGTGTTCACAGTGAAGAAAATCCCTTTATTATCTTTACTCTTCCCTCTATTTATGTTCTCTATTTTTCAAATTATAATACATCCAATTGACAAACTACAAAAATATTACTACATTGTTCATGCGCTACTTATTACTACATTGTTTATGCGATACTAATCGCTATTTATTACTACATTGTTCATATGATACTAATCGCTACTTATTACATTATTCATGTAATACTAATCGCTACTTATTACTACATTGATTGTACCCAATTTTTTGTCTATCCCCCATCACCTGACTTATCTCTTATTATCAAGTTACATGTATTGGGATCAAAACCATGACACAAGCTATACCCCCTTAGATCATCGTCCACGAGATCTATACTTAAAGTTTTTCCATTGTCATCATTTTCATTTAAGGTATATGACTTAAGCTTCTTAACTCTATTTCTAGTGACGGGATCCTTAAAAGGGCTCCCATCAATTTCATTAATATAGAATTGACCTTTGTCCCCGATTTTTCTTACTACATATGGCCCAAGCTATTGATAATCAAGCTTTCTCAACAAAACCGTGTTTTGTTGTTGAATCATATACTAACACTAGATCTCCTATGTCTATTTTTTTTTTCTCCTTTGCATGTTTATCATGAAAATACTTCCATCGGTGCCAAAGTTCATCCCTACTTGTTCTTGCATGTTGCAGATCTCCCACCATTTCACTTATTTGTCGCATTCTATATTCTAAAAGTTCTTTTGTGGTCCATTTGACTTTGCTTATAAACATTTGGTAGCTCTCTAAGATTAACTCGACAGGTGTAATTGCATCTCGGCCATATACAAGGTAAAATGGTGAATAGCCAAGATCTGTAACTATGATATTTATCATCCATACCACTCCTCTAACATATTAATGCCACTTATTTTGTTTCTCAACACAGATTTTTCGCAAGACGTGAGAAATTTTTTGTACAGTATGTTTAACTCTTCTATTTGCTTCGGGGTGATAACTGGCTACAAACTGTTGATTCACATTTAATTGACAGGTGAGTTCATCAAGTAGTCCATTTTTGAATTCCATTTCTCTATCAGAAACCAGTACTGAAAAACATTCATGCCTTGTTATTATATCTTCCCATATAAACTTCGCAATACTTTTCGCATTTTTCTTTTGCAATAGGCGAGCTTCAATGTATCCCGTTAGATCTTCTATGACTATTACAATATAGTAATGACCAGTACCAGATCTAGGTAATGGTCCAATACAATCTACAAAGACTTTGTAGAAGATCCAACTAGTTCTAACAACGTAGATCGGTTCCTTGATCTCCTGTTCCCTACATCGTTGGCAGATAGACAAGACATCATGTATTTCTTTACATCACAATACACGTTTCTACACGCCCATTTATATTTTTGCAAAATCGCTCTAGCTGTTCCATGTACCCCTCTATAACCTCCTTCCTCTGATATTCCTTCATAACTTGCGGCTAAAATCACATCTTTATCCTTATCATCATATATAACTCTTCTTGGGCGCAAGTTTTGTTTTCCTCTTTCAAACAAAATGTCATTAATCAAACAGAATCTTTTCAGCTTCCTTTGTAGTTGGGGTATGTCCTTAGTCCAAACTGTCTTTTGCCAATGCAAATTCTTTAAATAGTACTCTACCTCCACCAAATCTTTGATGACCGGATTCTCAATATCGACTCTTATCAACATGCTATCGACGAACTCTTCATTAATAATTGCTTCATCATAGGCGTTTCCAGGATATCTAGACATTCTATCTGTGTTTCCATGCTTCCAACCAGGTCTGTAATGAATTCGAAACTCAAATGACTGGAGAGCTAGAACCCATCTCATTAAATGTCCTCTCAATTCAACTTTATTAAAGAGCCACTCCAAGGCCTGGTGATCAGTCCATAGATCAAATACCGTTCTATCAACATACCTTTCATTCACTTTACATTCATATACTATCGCTAAATACTTCTTTTCTATTATAGTGTAATTAAGCTCATGTGCATTCAACTTTCTTGAGTCAAAACTAACTGGTCTTAATTTTTCTTTATTATCGAGTTGTTCTAGGACTACACCCACAGAAATGTCACTAGCATCTGTGTGCATTTGATAAGGTCGTAACCCTTCTCTGGCCCTCTGCCAATCTGGTCCTTTCAAAATGATATTATTCATGAGTATGTTCTTAAGCATGCTAAAAGCTATGTCTTGTTCATTATTCCACCTGTACTTCACTTCCTTCTTGGTTAAATCCATCAATAGTGCAGCTATTTTGCTAAAATTTTTATAAACCTTCTATAATAATTTACGACGCCAAGAAATGACCATATTTCAGTTTCATTAGTAGGTTTAGACCACTCTAATATTTTACTTATTCTTTTGGAGTCTATTCATATCACATTTTTACTAACTAAATATCTATACATCGGAATTTCTTTGTATAGTAAGTGACACTTTTTTGCGGCAAATGTTATGCCTGCTCATTTAAAACATTTGGCTAGTCTTATAAAGGTTTCTATATGGTCTTCGATGCTTCCATTTGTCCAGATTCCAATATTATCTTGGTAAGCAGCAACCACTTCTTTCTATTCATCATCCCTTAATAAAATATTCATTAATCATTGATATGTTTCACTTGCATTTTTCAATCCCATACACATAACAGTATACTTTAATACCCCCAACAGTGTCGACATGACAACCATATCACGATCTTCCTCTCTAATCTTTATTTGCCAATATCCTTTAAAAGCATTGACAGTACTATACCAATCATGTCCAATTGCTCTTTCAAGAATATCATGTATTAATGGAAGAGGGTAACCATCCTTTACTATATACTTGTTGAGCGGTTTCATATTTCTCACTGCACGCATATTACCTGTCCCTCCTTCTTTCTTGTTTACTGAAAAACAATGATAGGCATATTCCCCAACTCCTTCTTCCAACACGCCTCACTTTATCATTTCTTTCAAGTGTTCTTCAAATGCTATTGCTCTTTTCGGATTATTAATTCTAATAGGTCGTAAACGTAAAGGAGGCACTTTTACTCCACCCGTCCTCACTTGGTATTCTACCAAATTCGTCTTCCCCATTTCCGACATATCAAAAGCGAAAACTTCAGAAATTTCATTAATTACTTTGCACTTTAGTTTTTCTTTTTGTTCTACAGTTACATCAGGGCCCACGTCAATACTGACCCAATTCTCTTCTGTCACTCTTATAGCTGTAGGTATATCTAGCCCTTCAACTGACCCATCCACTCTTTCTTTCAACGAATCCCAATAGATTATCCAATCTGCATATTCAATATAATCATCTTCTACAGGTAAAATTTCATTAACTTCTACCAGTTGTTTATTGACAGCACCACGTATTGCCTTATTAATACAGGGCTCCTTTTCTACCTTATCTAAATCAACTTTCATCACAGTAAACACATCCTCCTCATCACTCCAATCATCGTCCTCTTGATCATATCTTGTCGTCTTATTAGAGCCATGAATCCAATCCATCGGTACCATAGAAACTATGAACGAAGATTCTCGACCTGGAGACGAAACAGTGTACCAATATTGGTTCTCACGCCATCGCAGCTCACATTGGGCCTTCGCAATCTAGGGCATGCACAAGAGAACATCAAAGCTGGCACTACATAACATAGAACCCATCATTAACTGTTATTCCCTCCATTTCAACTTCTATATCAGTTATATAGCCAACAAACTTGCTTACATGATTATCAGCCATCCTACTCTTCCCATTAACCTCCTGCCAAACGAGGTCTCTTTTTTTAGCATAATTCTTATGCATCAAGTTCAACTAGGACCCTGGGTCTATCAGTACCTTAACAACATCTTCATTAATATATGCAGTATGACATGTACTATTTCATTATCGCTTAGATCAGTCTTTCTCCTCACAACTTTAACAAGACTAATCTTAGTATCTAACTGAACCACATCACTCTCTTTCTTGTGATGGGTCAAGGACTTCAAGACTTCAGCTCTTGCTTTCGGAGACTACTTAAAAAGCTGTCTCAAGGTTACAGTTACTTCCAATTTGGCAATTTTCTGCAACAGATCAAGTTCCTGAACTAACTCTGGTATAGGAATGTACATTACTGTCTTTTTTTGTTGTGCTTCAGTTATGTTATTATTATTAACTATCTTCTCCTTCTTATTAGGACATTCTTCTTTTACTACATGCCAACATTTTCGTAAGTTCCTAACATTAAAAGTCTCTTGGTCAGTGTCTATTTCAATCTTTAAACAGTTTTTCGCATCTAACACCTTTTCTTTAATTGTTATTCTTATGGATTGACATTCTTTATTGTTCAAGAATTCGAAAAATCTCACATCTGTCTTATTGACCGTCGGCATAAGTTCTTTTCCTTTTTTTGACTCACCCCTTTCTTGCTTCTTCTTATTCAGACAGTTGCATGATATATGCCCAATTTCTTGGCATGTAAAACACTTTCGAGGTTCTGGCCCTTTTCGGTCTTGCAGTTTTCTTGTTACCTCATTCATAGTTTTAGTAAGCTCATTCACCATAGCTTTGACTTCTTCTAACTCA